AGCAAGTCAGGTTTACATCCTCTCTGTTGAAGTAAGAGAGAGTGAGGTTTACATCCTCTCTTTTGAAGTAAGAGAGAGTGAGGTGTACATCTTCTCTGTTGAAGTAAGAGAGAGTGAGGTTTACATCCTCTCTGTTGAAGTAAGAGCAAGTCAGGTTTACATCCTCTCTGTTGAAGTAAGAGCAACTGAGGTTCACATCCTCTCTATTGAAGTAAGAGCAACTGAGGTTTACATCCTCTCTGTTGAAGTAATAGAGAGTGAGGTTTACATCCTCTCTGTGTTGAAGTAAGAGCAAGTCAGGTTTACATCCTCTCTGTTGAAGTAAGAGAGAGTGAGGTTTACATCCTCTCTGTTGAAGTAAGAGAGAGTGAGGTGTACATCTTCTCTGTTGAAGTAAGAGAGAGTGAGGTTTACATCCTCTCTGTTGAAGTAAGAGAGAGTGAGGATTACATCCTCTCTGTGTTGAAGTAAGAGCAAGTCAGGTTTACATCCTCTCTGTTGAAGTAAAAGCAAGTCAGGTTTACATCCTCTTTGTTGAAGTAAGAGCAACTGAGGTTCACATCCTCTCTATTGAAGTAAGAGCAACTGAGGTTTACATCCTCTCTGTTGAAGTAATAGAGAGTGAGGTTTACATCCTCTCTGTGTTGAAGTAAGAGCAAGTCAGGTTTACATCCTCTCTGTTGAAGTAAGAGAGAGTGAGGTTTACATCCTCTCTGTTGAAGTAAGAGAGAGTGAGGTTTACATCCTCTCTGTTGAAGTAAGAGAGAGTGAGGTTTACATCCTCTCTGTTGAAGTAAGAGAGAGTGAGGTTTACATCCTCTCTGTTGAAGTAAGAGAGAGTGAGGTTTACATCCTCTCTGTGTTGAAGTAAGAGAGAGTGAGGTTTACATCCTCTCTGTGTTGAAGTAAGAGAGAGTGAGGTTTACATCCTCTCTGTTGAAGTAAGAGAGAGAGTGAGGTTTACATCCTCTCTGTTGAAGTAAGAGAGAGTGAGGTTTACATCCTCTCTGTTGAAGTAAGAGAGAGTGAGGTTTACATCCTCTCTGTTGAAGTAAGAGAGAGAGTGAGGTTAACATCCTCTCTGTTGAAGTAAGAGAGAGTGAGGTTTACATCCTCTCTGTGTTGAAGTAAGAGAGAGTGAGGTTTACATCCTCTCTGTGTTGAAGTAAGAGAGAGTGAGGTTAACATCCTCTCTGTTGAAGTAAGAGCAACTGAGGTTTACATCCTCTCTGTTGAAGTAAGAGCAACTGAGGTTTACATCCTCTCTGTTGAAGTAAGAGAGAGTGAGGTTTACATCCTCTCTGTTGAAGTAATAGAGATAGTCCTGCACCATGACCGTGGAATATATTCATTTTATGAAAACAAAATTCTAGAAATGCACACAAAAGCAAGTCTAGCCAGCTCAAGGTAGCTCTATTCCACATCTAAAATCAGTATAGGGTCAAGAAGGATATTGTGTCATATAAGATTTCAGAGACTAAATGTTCTTCTATAATAGAGAGTGGGGTTTATTTTGAAAGAATAATGATAATTGATGTCATTCCTTTCGACATTTACGTGTGCATTTCCATGTTAAGCGGGCGGCGACACCACAGCAGTGTATGTGATGTGAAAACGCTTTGATGAGGCTGCACCCTGACTTGTTTTTTCCCCATGCAAGACAGACTTGTAAATTGATAAGTATAGATGTATATGCACTTAACATAACCATAACCAAACCATAACCAAACCATTTTTTATTTCTCTGTCTAATTGCTCGTCCCCATTCAATATTCTTGACTCGGTGTACAGAGATTAGCGTCAGATACTGGCCTCTCCATCAACAAGGAAGTCCTGAACAGACCGATTTCCGAGCCCACGCCGAGGACGCATACGTGCACAATCTCTCCAGTATATATACGCTGTCTCTGGCGTCTCTCACCCTCCCTCATCGCTGCACAGATATAGAAGTCACAATTCCAGTAGAATGGTAATGTCGCATGTTTCCCCCGATATCCCGAGCTGGAATCTACATCGTGGGCATGCCTGCCATTGTCTGCCACCTCGGCGTTCTGATTTTTATAACCTTCCTGGAGACCACGTCCCATCGCAGTCGACAGTAACGACACATCAGCGACAACGACATCGGAATGTCGTAGAAAGCCTCATTGTTGACGTGGAAGCCAGAAAAACCCTTGTCTGTGTGTCATCGCAGCTTGGTTCAATATGCAGGTTAATTATTATAGCTACATCATACATGTATCTTCCCTGATGGGAACTGACGCTTATCTCTGACAGCAACCGGAAGACATTATTACTGTGCGGTCGTCATTAAAAAGTATTTTTACATGTAAGGTTCTATTTTGTTACATATAATAATAATACACACGCGCGCGCACATGCACACGCACACATTCACATACGCACACATACACACACGCACACACGCACACACATACAAGCACACACGAAAACACACAAACACACAAGCACCCACACAAACACGCACATACACACACGCACACACGCACACACTCACGCACATACACACACAGAGAAATACAAACGCACATACACACACAGAGAGATACGCACACACATGCACATAGACACACACACATACACACGCTCACTCACACACACACACACACACACACACACACACATTCAATAAGTATCACTATATATGTAGTGTGTCGTATTGAGTGGGTGAGTAAACGAGTATGATTTTACGCCGTTTTAGAATATCGTAGAGATATCCCCCAGGGGGCTTTAATACACTGTGCCTCTTTGGGGATTCGAACCCGGACCGTCGACGAAACGAGCCAACGCTTAAACCAGTAAGCTACCTCACCGGCCAGGTGCGTCGCAAGACTGGCCTTAACGGGCTTGTTTACTTTCATAACATGTGTACTGCGCGACATCACCTACAGTCTGAAGTCCGAGGCCGTTGACTGAGACGACATCAAGTTATATCAGCGACATCTACGACGTCGTTAATGGCTTAACTGTCCCACAATATATTCCCCACAGCGTCGGGATGGGCCTCGCTGCGGGCGACACGCTCCATATCAACAATGTAATAACGTCGTTCTGAGTGCACTATTTGGACATCGCTGCCCGGGGGAAGGTCATCTCACGTCAACGGGGCCATTATGACGTCATGTGATGCAGTGTTCTGACAGGCTGACTTTACGATATTGATCTCACCATTAACACGACTTAAACATGGACGATGGGTGGATTAGAGGATGGGTTTGACGTTGATAAAGTGCGATGTGAATTCAATATTAGACAAAGGCGAAATTCGTACTCACTCACTCATTCACTCACTCACTTACATTGTTGGCCTGACATTGTGAGACTGATATTGTGAAACTGACATTTTGGGACTGGCATTCTGGACTGACATTGTGGGATTGGCATTGTTGGACTGATATTGTAGCAATGACATTCTGGATTGATATTGTTGGACTGATATTGTAGGACTGATATTGTGGGACTGGTATTATTGGACTGATATTGTCAGACTGATATTGTCGGACTGAGATTCTGGATTGATAATGTTGGACTGACATTGTGGGCTGATATTCTGGACTGATATTGTTGGACTGACATTCTGGACTGATATTGTTGGACTGACATTCTGGACTGGTATTGTTGGACTGACATTCTGGATTGATATTGTCGGACTGATATTCTTGATTGATATTGCTGGACTGACATTCTGGATTGATATTGTTGGACTGTTATTCGGGATTGATATTCAAAAGGAAGAGGCGAAAACAAACAAAATCTTGGCATAAGTTTGCGCCACAAATTGGATTTAATCCATACAGAGTATACGGCACAGATTATACGTTCGGCTTCGGATTCCTGGGTTTCGGGAAATTTTGCAGTTTAAATTAGATTGGAAAAGATCGCGTATCATCAACCAATTGTTAAAGGCTGTTCACTGTGGTCGCGTCGCGTCAAACCCTATCTCCACTGTTTAATACTCCGCTCTCGTACATTCTCGCACACTCTCGTATCATGGCGGCGATGTGACATGCCTGAGGGCTCTCAGAGGCATCAATAAATGAACTAACTACTCGGCTAAAGTATGTAGAAAAGGCACTAAAATCTCCACTCTGTCGTGTTTTATCAAGCTTGTGTCAAGCACACATTTACTTAAGCTGGAGAGAAGGTTTATTGCTGGGTCTAACTCATATCATGTCAACATATTGTCACTTCATGGCGTCCGCGCTGGCGGAGTGGCGCCGGCCTAAAGCTCGTAATCCTTGCCTTAGGACAGTCAGTGAGTTATCTCCCCCTTGTCTTCATACTTGACATGGCAGTTATAAATATGTCAGATCATTCTTTCTGCTCGATTACTCTTAAGATTAAGTCAGAGTCAACGATTCATCAAAAAGGGTGCTGAAGGTATGGATGTGTTTGATATCACATGATACAACCAAATAAATATCTCGGTCCTGCTTTTTGCATAGCCCACTGAGGTAAGACTGTGTTGTGTCTTTCTATATTTAAAATATATTCTCAAACGCGCTTTTAAGATGAACATGTAGTTTAGTTTTAAAACACTGTCTTGTAATAGTGCAAGTTGTGCCTCATTGGGTGAGTGAGTGAGCGAGTAGGGTTTTACGCCGCTCTCTTGTGAACGATCTACGTTGCGTCAGACCCGTGAAGATCCGGTTTAGAATAGGTCTTCAGCAACCCATGCTTGCAGTAAAAGGCGACTATGCTTGTCGTAAGAGGCGACTAACGGGATCGGGTGGTCAGGCTCGCTGACTTGGTTGATGCATGACATCGATACCAATTGCGTGGATCGATGCTAATGATGTCAATCACTGGTTTGTCTGGTCTAGACTCGATTATTTACAGACCGCCGTCATATAGCTGGAATATTGCTGAGTGCGGCGTTAAACAAACAAACAAACAACGTTGCGTCACGTGACAGAAAGCAGGGTCATACGTATCTGCATTTGAATGAGAATATATATACTATATTGACAAATCCTATATCACTTTACACGTTTATTTTTCAACATTTAGTGTTCTTGGTGCAGACCAACCGTCGCCCACCGTACACAATATATCCCAATTGCGTGGATCGATGCTGATGATGTCAATCACTGGATTGTCTGGTCCAGATTCGATTATTTACAGACCGCCGTCATAGAGCTGAGTGCGGCGCTAAACAACAAATAAACAAAAAAAATATATTGCAAGACGTGCAGTGTACCCATCAGACAATGTCTTGAAGTAAGGGCATAAAATACTAATTGATTGTCCTGATGTCAATTATTCATTTAACACGTCACACTCGAAGGTCAGCTGGTTTAATTCCTACACGCACGTGATCGCAACTCCAGCTTCCCTGCATGCACCTGCGTGGACCTAGCACTTGATGACGCCAGCCATTGACCCTGGCCGCCATATTACCGCGAAAGATCATTCTCACACTGGGAACAAATTCCTGCAACACCGGTGTGACGAAATGGGGGGAATGCGTGCAGTGCAAGAAGATTTTCCCCAAGTTGGAATCTAGATACAACAATATTCTACACGAGTTGACAGAATGTGTTTATGTTATTTTTATTCAACAATTTACGTTAGAACAACAACTACTAGATTGTTTTCCAAAATCATATAAACCATTCCCTCAAAATGACCTTATAAATCTTCACAGTTTCTTTTATTCTGTGACGTGCATCAGTTATGAGGTGCTATAACCACGACAATACTACTTGTTGTTTCCCAGGATATTTACTAACACATGTCTTCTTTAAGGGGCATTTAGAAGATGTATGGTTGAACAACTGTAATAAAAAAAGTTGTTCATCCATATATCTTATCTGTACTTACGCTTACATATGATGTAGTAGTCTGGATACCGTTCCGAGTAGCTACTCATCCTCCAGACAGCCTCCGTGGACCGCCCGGAGCGGAAGATCCGGGGTTCGATCCCCGGCCGCGTCATATCAAAATACGTTAGAATATGGTACTTGTTGGTACCCTGTCTGGCGCTTCGCATTAAGGGGCTAAAACACGGACTGGTCGGCTTGGAGTCACTGTGTCTGAGTGGGGTATTCATGTTAAACTGCGGCATGGTATCTTGGTCTGTATCCAAGAGCACACACGTGCATGCACGTCGCTACGTCAGTGCAATAATTTTGGACGCGATGTAAAACGCCATTTTACCTCACAGTGTGGTTTACTTCCGGTTCATATTATTAACCCAATGGACGTCACTCTTCGTCACCAAGACGCCGCACCTGAAGTAGCCCCAAGGCCACAGATTAATACCCTTCTCACACGTTTTTTTATGTACAATACGACAGTAAAGACACTGTCGGATACAGCCAATCAGATGAGTCCGCTGATATACAGCGATATAGCCTGTGTTCTCAAGTTGGTGCTGATAGCGTGGTCAGCTGGAGTTGTGAGCGGGGGAGGGGGAGGTAGGGGGAGGGGGGATGTCACTGTTATCACTCATCCCCCAGATGAGTTTAATCTCACTTCCTCGTGGGACACTATTTCCTTGTATACTGATGTTCTGCTGTGTGTTCATCAATTAAAACAGCCTCCGGTTTCAGTATCGGGTTTTCTTCAGAGGCCACCTGGCGTCCATTTACATCAGCCAAATGGAAACAAATATGAAATATATATCTCATAGGATGCGTTCTGTTCAGGAAGACATTCACTGCAGCTAAACCACGAACTTGTCACAACGTTTTGAACCTCGTCTTAGTCCCATTAGTAACGCACCCACCTACACTAATGCTACGTCTATGAAAATATTTCTTTAAAATAATTTGTAATTCCCCTAAAGAACCATTCCTCTTCTGTTGTTTGGAATCAAGGAAACTAGACTTGGTTTAGTTTGGTCTAGACTTGCCTAGGCTTTTATCAAAATAAATGTACAATAAATATGTTTACCTCCGACGTATACTACATTTATTGTAGGGTGTTCTACCATCTCACAGTGTGTGACGTGTATTGTACGATCTCGCCATGTATGGCCGCGTATCTCGGTATTTATACCTCTTGGTACACAAGGTACTTCATACAATTCCTTGCTTCTTTCTCAAATATACGAACCTGTTTCACAAATATGGCCATTAGCATCTGGTTGGCAATACACTTTCCGACTTGCCTCTTGAGCACCTGCAGCGAGATGATGTATGGTTGTGTAACCCGGATGACAGAGATGGACGCTGTACCTGAACCAGGTGTGGACAACAGACAACGTTAGTTGACGCATTGTCAACAGTAACTAAGCCTTTGACACCGAATAACGCGGCGTCACCTGGAATGGAGCACGATTGGACATGCCGTGTTGTTTTACGCCGCAGTCAATTCCGGCTGCAGCACGACCACCAGCAAACCAATGATTAGACAAATGGTTGTCCCCCAGTACCCTATGGTTGTCTCCCAGTACACTATGGTTGTATCCCAGTACCCTATGGTCGTCCCCAAGTACCCTATGATTGTATCCCAGTACACTATGATTGTATCCTAGTACCCTATGGTCGTCCCCCAGTACCCTATGGTTGTATCCCAGTACACTATGGTTGTATCCCAGTACACTATGGTTGTCCCCCAGTACCCTATGGTTGTCTCCCAGTACACTATGGTTGTATCCCAGTACCCTATGGTCGTCCCCAAGTACCCTATGATTGTATCCCAGTACCCTATGATTGTATCCTAGTACCCTATGGTCGTCCCCCAGTACCCTATGATTGTATCCCAGTTCACTATGGTTGTATCCCAGTACACTATGGTTGTCTCCCAGTACCCTATGATCGTCCCCCAGTACCCTATGGTCGTCCCCCAGAACCCTATGATTGTATCCCAGTACACTATGGTTGTATCCCAGTACACTATGGTTGTCCCCAAGTACCTTATGATTGTATCCAAATACCCTATGGTTGTCCCCCAGTACCCTATCATTGTATCCCAGTACCCTTTGGTTGTATCCCAGTACCCTATGGTTGTATCCCAGTACCCTATGGTTGTATCCCAGTTCACTATGGTTGTATCCCAGTACACTATGGTTGTCCCCCAGTACACTATGGTTGTATCCCAGTACACTATGGTTGTATCCCAGAACCCTATGATTGTATCCCAGTACCCTATGGTTATATCCCAGTACCCTATGGTTGTATCCCAGTACACTATGGTTGTCCCCCAGTACACTATGGTTGTATCCCAGAACCCTATGATTGTATCCCAGTACCCTATGGTTATATCCCAGTACCCTATGTTTGTATCCCAGTACCCTATGGTGGTATCTCAGTACCCTATGGTTGTATCCCAGTACACTATGGTTGTATCCCAGTACCCTATGATTGTATCCCAGTACCCTATGGTTGTATCCCAGTACCCTATGGTTGTATCCCAGTACCCTATGGTTGTATCCCAGTACACTATGGTTGTATCCCAGTACCCTATGGTTGTATCCCAGTACCCTATGGTTGTCCCCCAGTATACTATGGTTGTATCCCAGTACACTATGGTTATATCCCAGTACACTATGGTTGACCCCCAGTACCCTATGGTCGTCCACCAGTACCCTATGGTTGTCCCCCAGTACCCTATGGTTATATCCCAGTACACTATGGTTGACCCCCAGTACACTATGGTTGTATCCCAGTACACTATGGTTATATCCCAGTACCCTATGGTCGTCCCCCGGTACCCTATGGTTGTCCCCCAGTACCCTATGGTTATATCCCAGTACACTATGGTTGACCCCCGGTACCCTATGGTTGTCCCCCAGTACACTATGATTATATCCCAGTACACTTTGGTTGTATGCCAGTACACTATGGCTGTCCCCAAGTACCCTATGGTTGTATCCCAGTACCCTATGGCTGTATACCAGAACCCTATGGTTGTATTCCAGTACCCTATGGTTGTATCCCAGTACCCTATGGTTGTATCCCAGTACACTATGGTTGTATCCCAGTACACTATGGTCGTCCTCCAGTACCCTATGGTTGTATCCCAGTACCCTATGGTTGTCCCCCAGTACACTATGGTTGTATCCCAGTACACTGTGGTTGTATCCCAGTACCCTATGGTTGTATCCGAGTACCCTATGGTTGTCCCCCAGTACACTATGATTGTATCCCAGTACACTATGGCTGTATCCCAGTACACTATGGTTGTATCCCAGTACACTATGGTTGTATCCCAGTACCCTTTGGTCGTCCCCCAGTACCCTATGGTTGTATCCCAGTACACTATGGTTGTCCCCCAGTACACTATGGTTGTATCCCAGTACCCTATGGTTGTATCCCAGTACCCTATGGTCGTCCCCCAGTACCCTATGGTTGTATCCCAGTACCCTATGGTTGTCCCCCAGTACACTATGGTTGTCCCCCAGTACACTATGGTTGTATCCCAGTACCCTATGGTTCTCCCCCAGTACACAATGGTTGTATCCCAGTACCCTATGGTTGTATCCCAGTACACAATGGTTGTATCCCAGTACCCTATGGTTGTATCCCAGTACACTATTATTGTATCCCAGTACCCATTGATTGTACCCCAGTACACTATGATTGTATCCCAGTACACTATGATTGTATCCCAGTACCCTATGGTTGTCCCCCAGTACCCTATGGTTGTATCCCAGTACCCTATGGTTGTCCCCCAGTACACTATTATTGTATCCCAGTACCCTATGGTTGTATCCCAGTACCCTATGATTGTATCCCAGTACACTATGATTGTACCCCAGTACCCTATGATTGTATCCCAGTACACTATGGTTGTATCCCAGTACACTATGGTTGTATCCTAGTACCCTATGGTTGTCCCCCAGTACCCTATGGTTGTCCCCCTAGTACCCTACGGTTGTCTCCAGTACCCTAGCGTTGTGAGAACACAAGAGCTTTATACATAAACTTAACCATCTCCAAAATGTATTTAGAACTGCGCACTTCGGCCAGCGTCGAATTTTATTTACCGTCTCTTTGAACTATATTTCACTGATATCACGATGCGGGTTGTATTCGTTTACTACTAAATGTTGAGGGTGACACTCACCAGTACCATTTTAGTGGTGACAAGACAATGTGTATGCGAATCCATTGGTATGTTGTACAGCCAAGGGACTCAACTCTGCACAGCGACTGGCGCCACCTAAGGCCACTGGGCCACCAGGTCCCTCAAGACCAGGTCGACAGATCCCGCCTAATTAATGGGTCTTGAAGATAGGGAGACATGTTGTGGAAAGGGATCACGACTGCGTGACGTACCGGTAACGTGCTGAAGCAGGTGCGCGTGGTGACACCAGTCAGTGTCACTGCCAGCTGACAGGACAGTCACGTGACAGGAAATGCCACGCTCATAAGCGTGAATTATCTCCCTTCTCCGTAAATAAGCAGTCGCATAAAACAACAAAAACATAGCTACTCCTGTCTCGTGTCCCGAGTTTCCTGTCTTAAGACCGTGTCATTGACGGTAAACCACTCTCTCCTTCCGTGGTACGCTTTTCACTAGTCACATAGTCAACAGTCGTTTATTTGGATGTTTTAACTTGGTCTTGTGCCTCAATTAGCCCTCAGTCCTAAACACCGTTCCACGTGTTTCTATGAACTGAAATCTCTAGCGTCTTTAACTGTGAAAATATAACTCTATTCTTCGTTGACAGCTACCAGCCTTACAGACAGGAGGACGCTGTATGACGGGACAACCGGGGTTATAGACAGAAGGACGCTGTATGACGGGACAACCGATGTTGTAGACAAGACGCTGCATGACGGGACAACCGGGGTTATAGACAGGTGGACGATGTATGACGGGACAACCGGCGTTATAGACAGGGGGACACTGTATGACGGGACAACCGGGGTTATAGACAGGGGGACACTGTATGACGGGACAACCGGCGTTATAGACAGGGGGACACTGTATGACGGGACAACCGGGGTTATAGACAGAAGGACGCTGTATGACGGGACAACCGGCGTTGTAGACAGGAGGACGATGTATGACGGGACAGCCAGCG